CTGCGTTCCACCCTCAAACTAACGGTCAAACCGAAAGGACCAATCAGACCCTAGAGCAATACCTAAGATGCTACACTTCATTTACTCAAGATGACTGGATGCCACTTCTACCCCTAGCGGAATTTGCGTACAACAACGCCCGCCACTCAGCGACGGGACAGTCCCCCGTTCTTTGCCAACTATGGCTTTCACCCAGTCTTCCTCCTCCCGGATTTGGTCACGGAATGCCCAGTACCAGCAACGCAAGATGTGGTGACGTTCTTCTCCGCGAACAATAAGAAGCTTCAAGAGGCCATCAGTCGGGCCCAGGAAGACTACAGGAAGGCATTCAATAGGAAACGGAGAGGAAATCTGGTATTGCGGCCTGGGGAGAAGGTTTGGCTAGCGACGTCCAATTAAAAATGCTTTGCCCGTCAAAGAAATTGGGACCCAAATTTATAGGCCCCTTCTGCATTAAACGGATGGTTAACGAAGTGGCCTACGAACTCGTCCTTCCTGACACGCTCAAGATCCACCCCAGTCTTCCATGTGTCCCCTGCTGAAGCCAGTAGTCCCTAGATGCCTTCCCTGACCGGGAATCTAGACCCCCGGAAGCCGTAACGGTCGAGGGAGAAGAAGAATTTGAGGTTGAAACAATCCTGAAGTGTCGAAGGAGGGGAGGCCAGACCCAATTCCTTATCAAATGGAAGGGCTATGGCCCTGAGGACAATTCTTGGGAACCAGCCCATAATGTCCATGCACCCAGACTTGTCCGGAGGTTTTTTTTTCGCGATCACCCGTGGTGTCGAGAGATCGGGTGGGCATCCGGAGGTTGCCCGTAGGGGGGGGGGCAATGTCAGGGATCTCTCCGATCCCCGCCGCGATGGTCCCGGCGCAGGCGCAGTGCACCGCCCTGTGCAGGGACACGGGCACTAGGTCCGGGCCGGCCGCGGCGTTCGAGTTCGCGCATGCGCAGTAGAAGCCGCAGCCCGCCCGCTGGGCACCAATGGCAGCGCAGGGGCGGGATATTTAAATGGCCCTGAGCTGTCATTCAGTGCCTTCTGGTCTTCCCTGCATCCTGTGAACCTGTGAACCTGTGAATTGTAAGTTGTGACCCGGATTGTACCTGACCTTGCTGTTTTCTCCTATCCTGACCCTTGCTTTGCCTGACCTCTCTCTTGAATGCCCCTGATTGGATTTGACCTGCTGTTGCTGACCTGGCGTGTGACCCGACCATTCTATGCCCGCTGCCTTGTACCTTGCCGTTCTCTCTCTGTTACCGACCCCGGCCCGTCTGACCTTGCTCATCCATCCATCCATCCCTTGCAGTGGGGTCTTCTGACCTCCTCACATCAGACTCTTCCCGCGCGGGAGCCCTTGGCACATACCACTACCACTGCCGGACGCACCCAGTAGCCACGACCTGGTCTCGGGGGGCTCCAAGTCCATCCCCACCATCAGGGGCCCTGGTGAACAAGCACCCTGGGACTTAGATTCCGTGCGCTGGGGACGCCTATTCATTGGAGTGCTGGGGGTACCGCCAGGCGGTCCCTTACACCCCCACTATAATGTAAAGCGCTGAGCAAACCGTTGGCGCTATATAAATCCTGTATAATAATAATAATCCCTAATTCTACTTCCCCTGGGCCAGAGAAGGGATGAGGGCAGTCAGGTGCAATACCCAAACTAGTTCTCATCTGGGACTACCTAATTGCAGATCTTGGAATTCCTTGCCAAGAGATACCCTTAAGACAGCCAGGTGAAAGAGGAACGATTCATCTGGGCCCTGAGGTGGTCCACCAGAGGGGAAACCAGTGCTCCTTAAAGAGACAGTTGCTACTACTTTTTTTAGTCCACATTTTTGTACAGTTTGCTGAGAAGTTTGTCCTCAAGTTTACAGTTCTTTGGGCATCCCATATATCCCTAGACTCCATCCAAGTTGTTAACCCCTAATAAAAAACAACAAAACCAAGCACCAGGATTGTTTTACTGACTCTTTGTGTAAAGATGTGTAAAATGCAAGTTGCCTGGCCGTGCAGAGGGGTTGAGCGCAACACATGCAACAAAAAGTACAGCGCCACATTTTGCTGTATGAAAAAAAGGCTCAGTCCTGCTTCCACCAGAGCATGGTATCTTTTATAGATCCCCCCTTCACCTCTCCACACATTCACATCAAACAGCTGAGCGTATGGTTGCCATTCTTGGAAACCCTCCCCGCTTAGCAGATCCCTTGTAATGATATATGGAACAGACTAACCAACATCCAATGGATAGAAAGCAGATGCGCTATCGCCTTTTTAATCTCTGTCTTCATGTAAAACATGAAATGTACACACGAGGAAACCAGGGTGGGCTGCCGCCACACAAATGGATATATCAGAACAGGATACACTTTTAAACTTCATGGGAAGACTGTTCAGACCTCTCGAAATTAAAACCAGCCTGCACCAATTTTTTTTATTTTTTGTAGGCGGGAGGAAAGATTACCTGCGAGAGCCAGCCGTGAAATTAAATTTGCTGCAGCAGGGGAAGGCAGCACAGTCTAGAGATATTTAGTGCGGCAGAAGGAGCGTTTTTGCACTCTTTTTGCCAAATAAAATAAACACCAGTTAACTTCCAGCTACTGGTAGGCTGTGGCCTTCATACCCTCCAGCTGTAAAGTATCAGTTAAGGGTGTCTCCTATTACTATATACTAACAAACTTCCAACTTCTCAACAAGGAGTGAGGAGGGAGGGGTGACCTTATGATACCATTAGAGTATGCTGCTTTCATTATAGGGGAAGCAGGGGCCTTGTTCCCTTTGTTTCTTTTGTTTTATAAGCTCAGGATGGAATTAAAACAAAAGAAAAACTCAACAAATCTGAGCAAAAAAAATAGAAAAATGCAATTAAAGCAGAAATCCAGCCAAAAAACCCCCCCCAAAAAACAAGATAATAAATGAATAATGCAATAAAAGCTAAAATAACAAAACCAACTTTTGCTGCAATATTCACCTTCAACCCAGAGATTTCCACGGCAGTACTTTTTTCTGCCACTAGATGTCATTAGTCTGATGGCCAATATCATTCGACCTGCTTCCTCTGAGCCCAAGCATTCCTGGACCCGCCCCCAGCCTGTGACTGGACAGTGAAAGGAGAAGTGGCACAGTCTCTGTCACTTTGCTTTCTCCTCCTATCAGTATGCTTCCTGTGAGTACATGAATTGATTTTTCCTCTCTGACAAACAGGAACTGCAAGAGGCTGATACCAGGTACATTCAGGTACGTACACTGCTTGTATTTAAAAAAAAAATATATATATATATAATTTAATAATGTATCAATGATTACAGAGTGTAAAATACTGTATTATCTCGATATTTTGTTTAACTTGTACTGTTAAAAAGCAGATATTAGATATTAGGTTAAGGAAAGCTACTAACACAGAGTTGAATTATTTTATGTCTTTTATATCTGCCTAGAGTTCACCTACAAAATAATTTGTAAACCCTTACATACACCCAATGAAGTGCCTGGTCTCAGGTTATACACAGAGATGAAACAAATGCTCCTGCATAAGTTGTACTTGTTTATTTGTAACCATCTCATATCCACAGGCTTTCAAAGTATATTGTTTATGCAGCATTCCTGATTGTCAAAAGGCAGGGATCAGGGATCTGATGTCACACATTGCACAGCATAGAGCAGGTAGCTAAATATAATTTGAGACCTGAGTGGAAAGAATAGAAACTCCCTCATGTATATTATATTTACCTGCTCTATACTGTGATTTTGCACAGTGCAGAACCGATCCTGCTTTTCTCAGGTAGCCTGCTGGTGCTTCTGGCCTCTCCCTCCTGCCGAGTGCCCCCAGAGCAAGCAGCCTGCTATGGGGACACCCAAGCAGGCTCGCTCTCGAGCCACCGCTCTGCATGTCTATTCACACACAGAGCCTGTGGCTTGGCCCTGCCCCCTCTCTCTCCTCATCAGCTCACCCTCTGTGATTGACAGCAGTGGGAGCCAATGGCTCAGCCAATGAGGAGGCAGAGTACCCAGAGAGCTGAGGCTCTCCTGCAGATCACTGTATCGCGATGGGGCTCAGGTAAGTATTAAGAGGGTCTGGGGGCTATTGCACACAAAAGGTTTTTTACTTTCATGCATAGAAAGCATGAAGGTAAAAAATGTTAAGCCTTAAAAACTTTAACTTAAAATGACCAACGTTGAGATGTTCCAGTCATTGGTGATGAAACGCGTTGGTGCAGCTATGGCGTGTGATGTCATCTCACACCAGGATGCAGCAGCCATCTTGTGGGTTTGAAACATCTTATCTGGTATGATGACATGCTGATTCTAACAATTGATATGTGTACGTGCATTTCTTTGAATAAATAGCTTGTTTTATTGGCCTACTAAACTATGTGATGGTTTTTTTTCTCCTTGGGTTATCATCTCCTGCCGATTAGGCTGTATCGCTCTGTAATTTATTGGAAGTTAGCCTGGAGGAAAGATCTATGGAGAGTCTTTCTTTAAAGTTTGTGTTGGTTCTACTCTGCGCTGTTGGACCATTCCTTTTTAGGGGATCAACAAGTTCTGGTAAGAGGCTGTGTGTTTGGGTTGGTGAAGGTTCTTCCTCCTATAACACCTTTTTTGAACATCAATATCTACAGTGTAGCCTATTGAGGCTCTACAGATGGACTCTATTATATCTTTTTTCTAGCTGAAGTGCGCCATTTACTTGTGGAAGGGACTAGTTATCACATCTTTCAATGAGTGTTATCGCTTTTTTAGCATTGGCTCTGCACCATTTTCTGTATATATATATATATATATATATATATATATATATATATAAAGACATTGAGCCTTTATTTGAACTGTAATTCAGTCCAGGTGTTCTGTAAGCTATTCAACCCTTATAGAGATTTTAGAATTCATCAATATACAGTACAAAACCTTATTACATTAGAAAAAGGGTAGATATAATAATGGTGCTCTCATATTTTGCCCAGCAAAGATAATGGCACAAAGGTGGAGATATCGTACCTGGAAGCTGTACCAAGGGCGGTAATCCAAGCCTGGAAGATACCAGCCAGGAAGGAGAACGGGCTTTTCCTGGTGATTGCGAAGTACAGTAGTGGCAAGAAGATGGCTCCATGGATGATTAGTCCAATGATGACAGTAACCATGTACATTCCCAGCTGCCTTGGCGACCTGTTCCAGGTCTTTAATGGCGATGATTTTCCCACAGATTAGACAGGCGATACCAAAAGGAGAGTACCTAGAAACACATTGGGCTCATTAAACCAAACAAAAAATGTTAATGTAGTGCAATCGGCCCCTTTTATGTTACATAATCCTCTGGTGTATGGAAAAAATACTTGCAAATAAGGCATTTTTGTAAACTACTAGAATACTGCAAATATCCAGGTTCTAGATTTCCCTAATTTATAAGGTATAGCAATGTGCTTTACAAATGGGCTCCACAGGATCAGGGGTCCAAAGCTGACAAATCACAATAGTCATGAATGGGGACTGTTTAATCAATATTTTTGATAGAATTTTTTCTAGTTACAAGAGTACAGATGACCATTCCTGGATCCCCCCTTCCTTCCCCTAAACTGATATGAAAATAGATCAACCCTTTAACAGTGAGGAATACTATGAAAATGACATATTCATATCTAAAAATAAATGATTGACACGGTAACACAAATGCCCCAAACTAGACATCGGGACGGTAACATATGGAGTTGGACATCGATCCCATCTCCTGTGTTCCATCTGTTACCTCTTGACCTCTACAGCCATGTATGGTGGGTATCCATCAGCTGAGGTCATATACCCCTATGGGGGTATCTTTGTAAATTACTACTTCTGTTTTTTTCTAATATATGGTCATGCATTATGTTAGATTCATGAATTTTCTGCTTAATTGTATTATTTGTATATTATTATATTTTGTTTCTTTTTTTTTAGTCAGTTGCACCCCTTGAACTCCTGAAGAAGCTATCTGCGAAACATGTTGGGATATCATCAACACCCCCCCCTCCCATTTTTCTTTGACTACACTGTTTGTTGTGTAATAATCCATACTATATACTGTTGATATTCATAATGATCTATGTTGGGGGGGAAATGATGTTGCGTGATTTCTGAGCTGCTTATGGTTTATTTCTGCAATGATAATGGTTTTTTAGAGGAGTTTTCCCCCAGTACATTTTAATGAAATTTTTGGAATGAAATTTTGGTTTTAGAAAAGGCTTTTTTTTTTTTGAGTGTTTTCTGAGGAGAGGTTTTCAGCACCATTTAAACTCACAATCATCCTTCTTTTGGTTTATTTTTGATATGCTTCTGGGACGGGGAGCTGATTCATTCAATTGGACCTGTCACTTTTTTCTTGGGACTGTAATATAACTTAAAGATGAATTCCAGATATGCATATTTTATACAGTTACATTGGTCCAGCCTGGACTACTGTAACTATGTATACACCATACCTGTCTGAAGCCCCTGAAAGCTTGAAATCTCTGTGCATTCTGATTACAGGAGGTTGGCTGCTTGGCACGGGTGCCATTAACAGCATTTTTTGAATGAATGCAAAGTGTTCTCTGACTGGATAAAGTGGAAAGGCAGGCAGTGAGGTCACACTCTCCATCTTGTATAATTAGAGAACACTTTGAATTCATTCAGAAAATGCAAACCATTCTCTGAATGGTGCCCATGATAAGTGGCTGACCTCCTATGCTTAGAATGCCGCAGGACACAAAAGCAAGTGCGTATCGCTGGTGCAGTGGCGTCTACTTCAGTAATTTCCAGCTTCCAGGGGCATCAGCTAGGTATGAATCCACAATATAGTTAGCCGACAACTCAGAAGTTTCTTAATGTAAATGAATTTTGGTTACATAAATACAGGAGCCACAACGCGTTTTGGCTTTACAAAGGCTTGTAAAAGGCTTTGTAAAGCCGAAACGTGTTAGTTTGTGGATCCTGTCTTTATGTTCAATAAAGATTTACATTAAGAAGCTTCTGAGTTGCCAGCTACCTATATTGTGGATTCATGCTGTGAGGAGTGAACACCTTAGCCAGTGTGCCGGTCTCCTGTCTCCACGTTTTGAACAGAGCAGTTGAGCTTGGGTTTGTCTCTACCTCAGCTAGGTATGGTATATACCTGAACCAAGCTGGACCAATGTAACTATGTATAAAATACCCAGAGCTGGAATTCATCTCTATATGATAAGGCTGCCATACAGAGCTTGTATTTCTTTTGTTGGGCTCATGGGCTGAACAAGAGAAAATCAATCGATTTCCCCATCTATTATTGGAGAATTCTCCACTGACAGCATTATTGGAAAAGAAACGGTCATGCAACCTTGACAAGTCACACGCTCCTCGAACCTTGGAGAAGATGTTGCCCCAGGCCCCCTTCAAAGTTGGAAACATGTCTGATGGCCTGAGCTAGGATCAGTTTACCATCTCACACTACTTTTGGTACACACCCTAAGTGCCTCCGTACACACCAAACACAGAAAGGCTTCTTCACAGTAAGAGATGTGAAAATGTGGAATAGACTCCCTCAAGAGTTGGTTCTGGCCAGCTCAGTGGATTGCTTCAAAAAAAGTCCTGGATTGTTTCTTAGATAGAGAATATAACTGGATACTAACATTTATAGGTAAAGTTGATCCAGGGAATATCTGATTGCCTCTCAGGGGATCAGGAAGGAATTTTTTTCCCCGCAGGAGCAACTTGGATCATGCTTTGCTGGGTTTTTTTTTTACTTCCTCTGGATCAACTATGGGTATAGGATTATAACTTTTTTTTTCTATGGTTAAACTGGATGGACTTTTGTCTTTTTTCAGCCAGACTAACTATTAAACTATGTAATATGGCACCTTAGATTGCACACTCCTTGAGGGTCAGGGAGAGACTGATGTGAATGTACAATATATATATACATACATGTAAAGCGCAGAGTAAATTGATGGTGCTATATAAGTACCTGTAATAATAATCATTTTGATTTTCTATTAAAAAACTATACTCAAAAAAGGGTTACTATACACGAAAAAGTTCAGGAAAAAAAACTCCTTACAAGTGAAGAATATATACTGTAAGTAGTTTAGCAATTTTTTACTACAGATTCATAACATTTCCCCGTCATGGGAAAAATGTGGTTTGCCTTACTTTTTAAGTTTTTTTCTCCTTAAATTCTTTTCCTTAAGTTTTTTGTTAATTTAATTGTTAAATATAGTCGCCTGAGCAATTTAAAGTGAAACTAGCTGCAGGATCTCCTTCCTTTAGACATGGATGAGCCATAGAAAGGACCTCACCAAAAATGAGATATAAGTAGCATAACAGAATTTCTAGGAGAGTATATAATGAGTACAGAACTTTATCAGGTTGTAAGGAAGAGAAAATTGACCGTTTGAGGGCTGGTTCACACAATGAAACACTGCGCCACAAAGTACGGATTTCCATACGTTTAGGCATCTTGCATTAGACATAATTAAAATGAATGAGCTGCAATGCACCTCAACACAAGGAAATCTAGTGCATTCCCCTTAGTATATCACAACAGCTGTAAACTGAGATGGAAATGGATTTTTAATTAATTTGGGATCATTCTTGATTCTGAGTATTGAGCTGCAGGCACACTTTATTTGTGCCTTAAGCCATGTTGTTGAGGCACATTAGTGAGAACTGTGAATAGGCTGGAACACACAAAATTTTGGGTCATGCTGAATTTTATGTGAAAAACTCAATGCACAGACCCAGAGCAAATATGTAACAAGTGATATTAGGGCCCGTGATCTTTGTACATTGGCTCAAAGAAAAAAGCCAAGCACCCAGCCTTGTCAGAGGTTAGTAAAGGCAACCCAACTATATTTATCTCAATAAAGAGTTTCTTTAAAATCTGTAGTATATCACATTTCAAATTAAAATGTGCAGAAAACCCACAAAACACATCAGTCCCAGTGTGTCAAAAATGGAACAAAACGAATTCAACACCCAAAAGAGGGAGCAATGTCAATGACCAAGGTACATAAGTGGAGCTGGGAATATCCTGAGTCCCTGAAAGAGACCAGAAAATGCTTGTAGTTTCAACATATCAGCATCTATCAAAAGCATAAATTTCAGATTTGGGTGGAATGACCTCTCAAAATGATTTGGAAGGTGATGTTTGTTTTTAGTATCTACGAATCAGGCCAAACCTAATGATCTGCTGTCACTGATATAAACCACAAAAGTCTAAACAATAAAACAATCTATAATAAGGAACCAGATGTGATTTCAGGGGGAAGTTAGAATGTAGCAATTTGTGAAACTGGGAACGCATTGTTCTCTCTAAACTGTTTTGCAAATGGCTCTTTTCTTAAGGAGAGATCAATGGCTGTGACAGTTCCTGAGCTCATTTCCTCTGTGAACATGGAGCCTGTCCACCTGTATCCAGTCCAGGATCTCCCAAGAGACCTCATTGTCTCTTGGATACTGAACCTGCTGCTTTCGCAAGAATTGACAAAGAACCCGTGATAAACCGTGAGGAAATTTTGTCCCCTGAGGTGGCTTCTAACCTCAGACAGGATGGTCATTGTTCAACCTGCAACTAAGGCCAATAGGAAGTGTGTTGCCAGTTGCAGCATTGCATTCAGCTACAAGATTTTGGCAACATGTGAATCTGAACCTGAGGGTGAATGGAGCTGGGCATATAATGAGACTGATTTATGAGAAGTGGAAGGAAAAAAATAACCTTCAGAATGATACAAAGCCAGGGCAGAAGGGCGTCATGTTGGGAAAGAGTTGTGAAAAATCAGGCCTGAGAATGTTAAAGAAAATTTAGGAGGTAGAGAAATGGGAAGGGGTTCTACCTTATGGGCCTTCAAGGGTCATGTAGAAGGTGGAGCCATGTAGAAAGCTTGCTGAAATTAGTATGAATGCAAGCAGAAACAGAATGTGGTCCTTGTAAGCATTTTGTCCTGTTTTTCAGCCTACTTTATTTGGTAGGAAAAGCAATATGTCATGGAAGCTTGGCTGGTAGGAGGTCTTTTTAGGAGATGTAGAGTTTAAGTGCAGTTGACAAAAAGGGGGCCATTTATTGTGTGGTTTCACTAGGCACCCAAAGTACTATTTTAAAATGAACCTACACTATGTCCATACGGGGTAAAGCAGTCCTTCTCAAGCTTTGCAACACAGAGGAAACCTTGAATTAACTTTCTGGCTTCAGGGAACCACTGATAAAAAATAACTATATTTACAACTCATGATACATTAGTGTGATGGTCAGTGGGAAGAACGCTCCTTACACTTGTGGTCACTAGGAAGATTTACCCCCTTTTCACATAGCTAAAAAGATCAATGGTGTCAATGGGAACTTATCTGAAAGGCACAAATTGCTCATTATTTAAGGAACCCCTAGAAAACTCTGGAGGGACCCTAGGGTTCCTCAGAACCCTGGTTAAGAAACTCTGGGGTAAAGCTTTACTTTAACCTTTTGTATAGAATGTATTTCTAATGATCAGGGAGTGGGATCATAAATGGTTCAGAGTACTGCAGGAACAGTTGCAACTGGGCCACTTGTGTACGCTTTAGTATGCCAGCCGTAATGTATTTTGCTTTCATTTCAGCACCGCAAAAAAGACTCATGCATCAACTCATACACTCTCACGGCTTCAACTACCACCTCTATGCCGACGACACACAAATCTATCTCTCAGCCCCCCACCTCACCCCCTCGGTCTCCACCCGAATCACACACCTGTTGAGCGACATATCAGACTGGATGTCGCTCCACTTCCTTAAACTGAACCTCTCCAAAACCGAGTTTCTTGTCTTCCCTCCAGCCCGGACACCACCCCCCATTGACTTCTCCATCATGTCCAACAACGCCACCATCAAACCCGCCCCGCAGGCCAGAGTACTTGGTGTCATTTTGGACTCCAACCTATCCTTCCAGCCCCAAGTCCACTCTTTAAAAAACTCGTGCAGACTCCACCTCCACAACATCGCCAAAATCCGCACGTTCCTAACTCCAGAAACCACTAAACAGCTCATCCACTCCCTCATCATATCACGACTCGACTACTGCAACTCCCTCCTCACTGGCCTGCCTCGCCGCTGGCTATCCCCGCTTCAGTCCATCCTGAATACGGCTGCCAGACTCATTTCACCTTTCCAACCGCTCCGTTTCTGCCACCCCCCTCTGCCAATCCCTCCTCTGGCTTCCGATTGCGCAACGGATCAAATTCAAAATCCTAACGCTGACGTACAAAGCTGTCCACCATACTGCCCCGAACTACATCACTGACCTAATATCCAAGTACTGCCCAGCACGCACACTCCGCTCCTCACAAGACCTCCTTCTCTCTAGTTCCCTGGTCTCCTCCTCCCATGCCCGCCTCCAGGACTTCTCCAGGGTGTCACCCATCCTCTGGAACTCCCTGCCCCAACCCATCAGATTATCACCTACTCTCCTCTCCTTTAGGCGCACACTGAAAACCCATCTCTTCAGGGAAGCCTACCCCGCCCCCTGCTAACTTGCCGACCTCCTCCACTCTTCCTACCACTCCATCCCCCACAGCTATCTCCTCCTGTGCCACCATCCCCTCCCTCCTAGATTGTAAGCTCGAAAGAGCAGGGCCCTCGATCCCCTCATGTTTTGCATTGTATTGGTATTGTTTTCTGTCACATGTTCTGTTCCCCTCTGTAATGTACAGCGCTGAGCGAACTATTGGCGCTTTATAAATACTTTATAATAATAATAATAATAACTTACCACATGATCATAGTCACAAGTTTCATGACAATCTCGTTGAGGATGTTGAAGAATTCCACCATCAGCCGTGCCTGTTCCCCCATCTTTCCCATTGCAATGCCAAACGCTATGAAGAAACCAATCAGACCTGCATGCAGATAAGACACTGGGTCAGTCATTGGTCCATAATGAAGTTTAAAAGTCTCCTCTTTCTGGCACATCCCAGGTATTCTACAGCGAAACTCTGCATTAAAGTGTATGTTGCCCTAAGTATTTTATTTCTATGTGTGTGTATTTAAATATGTGTATAATATAAACCATAGTCTCTATCATTTTCATATAGTGTTTGCATATAAAGTACCTGGTTGATCTTGCCAATCACACTTCTTCTAAACTGACCACACAAAGCACAGAAGCTGATCTCTGCTTGCGTGGTCAGTTTTCATCCCCTGGTTGGCCATTCAGAGCTACAGGACACAGCATGCCTGTATTGGGTTATTTGTTAGGCCACCACGCCTCCCGACCAATGACAGCCTGCCTCTAGCACACATCCCCTCCCAATCACAGCCTTCCTCTTGAACATACCCCCTGCTTAGGTGCAGTCTGCTTCTTGCCTCAGGCTGAACAGACTTTGTAATACAGGCACAGTATCTTGTAACCCTGCCCCCACTATAAGAAAGAACAGGTGCATGGTCCCATAATATAACTTTTTAACCTTATAAGACAGGTAAGAAAGATAATTTCTGAAATTAGCAAAAGCAGTTATTGTGCCTGCACAGTTAAAAACTGTCATGAGATAAAGTAATATCCTCCAAGAATATAATTCAATTAAACATTTCTTACATTTCAGGTGACTAAAGGAGGACTGGGAAGGGGGTAAAGGGGCATCTGCCCCCTGGTCCAGTAATAATACTAAAAATATGTTGGCCTGGTGGCCCTGAATGGAAATATTTCACCATTCAGGCACTGCACAGAGAAGAATTTACAGTTGGTGACACGAGTTTGGCATTATGTAGCTCCCTGCTCCCTATTTAGACCTGTGATCACACCATCTGGGAGAGGGAAGTCTTCCTGCATCAACCTTCTTGCAGCTCTGAGGTGTCATTTGACTGAATACCGTGACCATAAAGGAAGATAAAGCCAGCCATAGATGACTAGAATCTCAGAGGGTTCAACAGGGACCAGTCAAGATTCGATCCACCTATGTGCAGATTGATTGTGCCCAAGTCGATTTATTGGTCAACTTGCATACAACCAACATGTCGGATTTCAAGCACGCCATTATTACATAGGCTATAGCATATCATCTGCACTAAAGCACCGCTAACACTACCCTAATACCTAACTCCTCTCCTACACAAACATTTCAATCTTAACCCCAAAAAATGACCCTAACACCTAATAACCCCCCCCTCTCCCCTTCAACATTACATCCCACTTTACTCCAGACACTTAACCCTTACAGTGACCCTTTTTTCTATACTTTCCTTTCTGCCAGCCCAATTATTTATAAAGCCACCATATCCATACTCAGCCGCTGCAAGTATTCTATTCTATTACACACCAGGTATGTAGAATACTTGCTCCCCCTACTGCTTGCTGTGGCTCCTCCTACAGGCTTGCACAAGTAGTGATGGCGGAAGGAGGAACCACAGCGGCTGAAGGGGGAGGAAGCATTTAACATACCTAGAAGTGGAGAATACTTGCAGCAGGTGGGGAGCAATGACATGGGAGCTCTTCAATACACAGAGCATCATAAAGGTAGTTAAATAAGTGCTTTTTTTTTTTTACAAGTGGCCTTGTTCACACCATGGTGCAGACACGTTGGTTTTTCTACATGCGTTCTGCAAGGGCACATAAAATCAACTGTTCAAATGTGCCCTGTTCACACCACAACACTAGTATCACGTGCAGATTTTTTTTCTGTGCAGGAATCTGCAACGGGAATAAAACTCTTCGAAGCACGCAAAAAAAAAAAACTGATGTCTCTGCTAGTGAAATCTGCTCATCAGTTTCCATCTATTGGATCTGTTTGCACGTATGGTGTGAACGAGGCCCTAAAAGTGCCTCTTTGCCTACACAGTCACTTTAATCTGTCTCTCCAAATCCCCTGAGACTAGCAGTTACAGACAGCAGTGCCTTAGCTCTCACACCGCAGATACACAGCTATAAAGGCTGTAGGCACGGGATTAAAACAAAAGTGAACAGCGAGCGCTAATCTGTGAACTTTGATAATGGAATCAGAAAAAAATATAGTAAATATATACTGGGTTTGCTACGCAATAATAACTAATAATAACTAATAGTAAAAGTCAAACCTTAGCATTACCTGGTTATAAGCTAGGATGTTACACAAGGACACAAAAGTAACAAAAAAAACTGGGGAAATTCCTGAATAGTGTCTAAAAAAACTCTTTAGAATCCTGATGTGCCTCCACGTGACAAATGGAGGTGAGTAGTGAGGACGTCAATTTCCTGTAGTTATTGCAAACAAGCATGCGGAGGCACACCAAGGCCAGGGTATCCATACGCACACTCAGATATCAGAGCACCGAAGCTTCATCCTGCTGCTGCAGGTGTCACACAGACAGTGCTGAGTTTTAGAGTTAGTTGAGTCATGCCTGAGAAACTAGTCCCCCATCAGCCCTGTTCCCCTTGTGATTGACAGCAGGCAGTGGAGAGATCCTATAGGGCAGCACAGTGGCTAAGTGGTTAGCACTTCCTCCTGGCAGCCCTAGGGTTGTTGGTTCAAATCCCAACCACAGCACCACCTGCCTGGAGTTTGCATGTTCTCCCTGTGCCTGTGTGGGTTCCCTCCGGGTACGCCAGTTTCCTCCCACACTCCAAAGACATACTGGTAGGTTAATTGGCTTCTGTCTACAATGTCCCTAGTATATGAATGTGAGTTAGGGACCTTAGACTGTACACCCCTTGAGGGTTAGGGACTGATGTGAATGTACAATATATATGTAAAGCGCTGCGTACATTGACGGCTCTATATAAGTACCTGAAATAAATAAATAAATAAATAATAGTCAATAGACAGCAAGCTATTGGCTATAGAATTCACCCACTGCCTGCTGTCAATGCCAGGGAGAGAGCAGACCTGATAGTGTCTCGGCTTTCCAATCAGACTCCTCCCACCGGCTGCTAGAAGGGTGTCAGCTGTAAAGATGACAGCATCCTTAAAAACCAGGGACAGGTGGGGAGGGGTAGTGGCAGGAAATGTGCAGCGCTGCTATGCAGTGTACAGAGACAGGTGCTTTGCCTGTCTCTGTACTCCAACTTAGAGTTGGTCTTAATTACCTCTATTTTTATTATCTATGAACTGTAGGTAATTATTTTTTTAATTTGATGCATTATTAAGAGTGAATCTGTTGATATGTTGAAACAGATGCCATGTTGTTTAATCTGGCTTAGACCATTTTAAAGGACCATAATGCCAAAAAAAAGTGTCGTAATGATTTTTTTGAATTCCCCCAATAAATCTCTAGCTAGCCACCATTAGAGGACTTGGACAGCCACAGCCTTGCAGCTTTAGTGCTCAGTATACCAAAAAAACACAAAGGGAAAACAAAGCTCTCTGGCATAGTGTAGACCTTCCAATAATATAAAAAACAACAACAATATTGCACTCACAGTTCAGAACATGTTTTATTGGCATAAGTGTGTAATGTGGTTTCCTTCTCTTGTTGCTCATGGACACCGAAATGCAAATCTAGTGGGGTACTGCTGCAGGCTGGACATTACAAGTCAACAGTCCTCTCCTACCCTTCCAATAAATGCTCTGTTGAATGGATGCCAATTATCCTCAAATAGCACAAGAAACTCCAAATACAATGGACCGTTGATTTTGGGGACCAACTGTTGTGTTTTCACAGCTGATTTATTTCCTATTCCAATGGTTTCAACACTTCCACATTCTATCCAAACTTTTGAAGATTGGTACTAAGGCTAACACTCACAATTTCCTAGGTGAAGCTTTCCTTGTAGTTCTGCTTTAATGATGACATATAGGGATGTAGGCAGGTTGCCTATTTTAGCTAGCGAGCAGTGGCTGTCCCAGACCAGGGGAAAGGATGTTCTGTCCACTTTCCCGGGCTTTTGGACCCAGTCTACCCACCCTGTGCTGCTAATATAAGGGGGGGTAGGCTGAGTACTGAGGCTCTTCTGCTTCCTTTTTGCCTTGGACTTTCTGTGAGTGGGGATTCACTGCCTTGAGAAAAGAGGTAACACTGTTTTATGGAGGGGAACCACTGGGCCTCGCAGTCTGCCCAAAAGTGCCAACTGATTTAGAGCACTGCCAGGTATGGACCCTCACCAGTTCATGGACTATCACCCTACTGAGGTTCGCCTGGGCAGCCCCATACTGTATAGTTAGTTAGGGGTAAGACTGTTTGAACCGTGTTGCACTTTATTTTGTCAGCTGCAGAACTTCCAGTAAAATATGTTGAACTTGTTCTAACCCTGGTCTGAAGTTACTAAAGAGGTGCATGAAGGATAAGAGGGCAGTTAAACTCACTTGGGTCAGTTAGGGCACATATGGGGTATGAAGCAAGTCAGTTGCATGAAGTCAACTTGGCATCGGAGCGGAAGAAATAAGCAGTTGCCACGGGTATCCAATGGACTGGTGTAACGTGAATAACAGCTTTTCGTGAAGCATGCTACCTGGGTCAGGTGAGGTGTCCTCCAGTAGTGAGGGGGTCGGTGTTCTACCTCCCTCCCCAGCGGTTGGTTTCTCATAACAACCAGGACTGAACCAGCGTTATGGAGACCCTCAGCCTAGCCGTCAGTACGGAAGAAGAGGAAGTTAATTAAGTGCATACATGGGGTACACATAGGTGCACGGCAGGACAACATTCTGTGACTGGGAGTGAGGTGGACGTGTTACATTGGATGGGTGCAATGGGCATAGGCTCAGCGGTGTCCCTCCTAAATGCAACAGTTACAAGGAGCTGTGTAGTGATACAGAATGCAGCATTTCACAGAGGAATTCTGTACAACTGATTACTACACACAGTGCATGGCTCATCTCTAAGTCGGGGGGCCAGCCTTAACCTCTTCATGCCGAGTGTACGCAAAAATGCGGCCTCTCAGAGGCTGAGCCTTGACGCTGAGAGGCCGCATATTTGCGTACCATTTGTAAACAAACATGTGCTGAGAGCGCACGCCCTGCGCGCTCCCAGTACATGTGTTGGCGTCCTATGGAAAGGTCCTGATCTCTCCTAGAATTATCTCTCCTTGCGATTGGGACCTTTCCAATCATGTGACTGCCGTGACAGACAATCATGGCGGTCACATGCCCCTAGACCCTCCTTCTGGCATCAGAAACTCCTTAAAGGGCCAGGAGGTGCCAGCGTGAAGGGGTTAAGGTTCACATCACCTGAATGTGGTCTTCGCCTGGTTCTAGGGCATTGTTGAGCACACACACGGGACAGGTACCCCATGTGCAGGGCGAATGACCCAGTCCACACTCCCTGGCGTAGTCCAAGAACCCCGTAGGCTTACAGGACAATCTGCCCCGCCAGCCTACAGCGAGGAAGCAGAGAACTCAGCAGATGATACCCTCATTCTCTCAATGAAGGTAAGATTGGATGACACCAATGATTGGATAGAATGTGAATGTGTTGAAACCATTGGAACAGAAAGAAAATTACTTTGGGGATGTGGCATCCATTCAAAGATGCATTTAGTGACGTAAATCACGAAGCGAGGAAGTCAAGACTCGAGAGAAGACGGCTTGTTCTTAGTATCCTACCTGAGGCTAAGATCCCAATTGATTTACATGCTGATGTAAAACTCATTGAGGGGAATTTATCAAAGCTTGCGCAGCCAGAATCTGCAGCAGCTGAGCATGGCAATCAATCAGCTTTGATCTATCATTTTCAAAGCTTAACTGAACAAGCAGAAGATGATTGGTTACTATGCACAGCTGTTCCAGATTCTGTCTGCTCCAGTTTCGGTCAATTCTTCCTATTGAATTACGAGTCCAATCAATCTAATTTATCTCATTTTCCCCAGAGTTTAGTGAATGTGGTGAAGCTTCACAAAAAAAATACCCAATCAGGTGCAAGGAAAATAAAAAAAAAAACAACATTTCTGCTTGCACATGATTGGATGATGGAAACCAGCTTCACCAGATTCACTAAGCTCTGGGGAAAATGAGTGCAACTTAATTTGCAAAGTTCACAGTGTGACGGGAGTCACTTCGGGTGGGGGGGCCCATGGAACACAGTTCACTTTGGAGGGGTGGGGAGACCCCTGTCTCAGCTCCCCATATCCCTATTATGTGTAAGTCACCCTGTGCCTGTTAGGGGTACAGGGTGAAATGTCCTAATATTGGGGTGGGGGGTTGTTTAATGCCATGTCCTTGCATCCCATTGTTCTATTGTGTGTCTTGCTTGGGAGCAAACTATTATGGGGTGTATATGTGTTTGTGATGTGTGATGTATCTGCTGATGTGTCTCTTGTTGCTAGATGTGGTTTGTGTCCATATGCAGGGAGGGAGGAATTGTTCCCTTGAATGTATATATCTTGTATCTGTGTTAAAATAAAGTAGTCTTTTTCCTGATTTATTTCAAGACTGGTGTTGTCTAGTCTCATATTGTCAGCGGTGGTGTCCGTAGTCGGTGTTCGGACAGGGAAGCGGTATTATAACGGAAATACCCAAGTGTAGTCGGAGTCTGGTTCCGTTACCCACAGACAATTTGCTTTTAGCCCTGGTTCACACTGGATCGGACTTTCTGACGTCAAGTGAAGTTGCATGATTTGAAACCCTCATGTCAGTGCGACCTGGCAGACATCTGTGCAACTTCCTACACAGATGTCTATGCAAGTCATGCCTGAAATCTGAAAAAATAGTGCAGGAACCTTATCTTCAAATCAGTGCGGCACCGCAAAGTCCAAGTTGCCCTGATTTGAACGGTTCCACTGCCGACAATAGGGTGTGGCTTGTCATGCAATTTGAAACTGTCAAATTGCATGATGAGTCGCACCGGTGTTAACCTGGGCCTAGTAAATCAACCCCATTGTCTATAAACAGCTACAACATAACACTCCATTAGATAGGATAGGAAAAATGTACAGAATTCCATACCCAGGACGTTCATCCCATCTTTGAATTCCAGTTTCTTTTTGATTTCCTCTGTTGTTTTGACCACAGTCTCGCTCACTGTGTCGTTCATTGCGGCCATAAAGGAGTCGGTGACATTGGTTGGCTCTTCTACAGGATTTTCCACCACAACCTTCTTGGTGACCGTCTGAATCTGTGAAGCAGAGAAGAAGGTAAGAGTTTTAGCCCTGGTTCACACTGGGTGCCGCCGATCAGTGAGATTTCATGTGTGGCTTGCCAACATCTGTGCGACTTCATACACAGTTGTAAGTGCAAGTTGCACATGAAACACTAAAAATAGTGAAGGAACCTTTTTCAAAGTCGCTGCGTAAAGTTGCAAGGATTTGAACGGATCCATAGACACAAATAAGGTGGTGACTTGTCAAGCGACTTTGATCTGTCAAGTCACATGACAAGTTGCACCAGGAGCAAAAGGGGGCTTAAAAATGATGGCTGTATTCAAGTTTACTTGTCATATGTATTCAGGTTTGGTCAACCAGGCCTATTTATTAAGTGATACATAGATAGGGATACGTAGATAGGGAAACATGTATCCTTGACATGGCTGATACAAAAAGCTTGTCTTTAATTTTTTCAGTCTTTACTAAACAATATGACATTATTGTCTCACTTAATAAATCCTTGTGTGCAGAATGGATTAACCAGGAGATAAGTCAAATGTTTTGCTCATTCCCACTTTTGTAGAATCTGCTACTCTGAACTGAAATACTGAAATTTTGTGCAAATTTGACAAAATTGTTTGGAAAGGACTGGAGCAATAAACCAATGTCTGGATGAAAGATTGAATTATTTGGTTGGAAAGTTATGCTCTCTGTAAGGATCTCAAAGCTTAACTTTTAATTGAACTGGAATATGCTTTTAAAAAGAGTGGCAGTTGTGTGGACAAAAATGCCATGTTGATGTCAGAAGTCAGAGGAGAATGGGCAGACTGGTTTGAGATGATAGAAAGTCAACAATAACTCCTGTCAATATGGACCAAAATCTCTGAGAAATGTTTCCAACACCTTGTTGAACTTATGCCGTGAAGAATTAAGACAGTTCTGAAGGCAAAAGGGGGTCCAACCTGGTACTAGCAAGGTGTACCTAATAAAGTGGCTGGTGGGTGTATGTGCAAGGATTCCAAATAGAAATTCCATCTTTCTGAAAACCCTTTTTAGCTCTGTTGTCTATAACACTATTTAGGGACATATTATAAATCAGTGAAGGTGACTTTCACCAAACATTCAACGGTGGTGAATCAATTGCTCTAATTTAAAACACACACTTTAGTAATGTTCAGATGCCCCTATAAGTGTGTCAAGTACATTGTCAAATACAAGCCAGAGTTGTCCAGATTATATATTTTTAAGGGCCTTCATCAATCTGTAAAAATAGGGAAGTTGGTTACCTGCTGGAAACAAGCTTGCACCAAGTTCTCGGGGAAGAGATTCCTTATAAGATCCAAGAAGGCATCTAAGCTGGACACCTCATCGTTTTCTTGACCCTTCCCAAGCTGTTTCTTTAGTTTGGGGTCTCCAGGATGAATAGCCAAGACCAAAATTACTCCCAGCACAGCAGCGATAATGGTAGTAGCCATATAATATACCATTGCCCTGGTTCCAAGGCGTCCACTTGATTTGGCATCCAATCCAGCCAGGCCTGCAGGGTAAGAATGGAGAAGAATGGTATGTTAATTTTTCTAAGGGCAATTCTGATATTTGTGAGGTTTTATATGCTTCTTATCGAAATAACTGTCTTTAAGACAAAAGGTGCAATTTTTTTAGAGCACTGCTTACCCACAAGTAACATTTCTAGATGTAGCATAGCAAATTTGTGCTGTCTGAGTGAATGTCCACTTTTAGGTGGACACTGATTAAGAAAGAACCCGGCTGTACATCAGTGATATACAGTAGAAATATCCAATGAGTTTAATGAGCAACCAGCATGGACAAACAGTACCCACAGGGAACCTCCCACTTGAGGCCACATGTTAACACATTTCACCCCCCATGGGGTATATTTATACATTAATAAGAAGAATGAACAGAGATTTCGTATACCTGGTTTTTGGGAAGTAGTGTTAAATGTAGGAGTAGGGCCACAGGTTCATCTACAAGAGTCATTCCTGTGAGTCCAGGCTGTCAAAGAAACACACTTCTATGAGTTGTATCATTATGCCTACCTGGGCTCACAGTAAGGACTGACCATCAGTATCACCAAAGAAGAAGAACTGTAATATTACATAACCTTCCAGAAAACTGCATGATTTAATGTATGTACCCCAAACCCTATTGCATCAGCAAAGTCTCATTCCATGGTAGCCATCAACAAAAGCAGAGGTTTGGATTTAGGGGGATCCCATTTATTGCCTAAAAATCTATTAGGTGAGCCAATAAATGGTATCACCCTAAATACAAACTTCTTCCCCATTCCCTATAACAGTGGTCTCCAAACTGCAGCCCGTGGGCCGGATGCGGCTCTTTGCTTCCACTTATCTGGCCCTTGGGACACTATTCCCTCCACTGATACCAATGATGAGCCACTATTCCTCTCAATGACACCAACATATGGCACTACTCCTCCCACCGACCCCAATGATGGGGCACTATTTCTCCCACTGACACCAATGATGGGGCACTATTTCTCCCACTGACACCAATGATGGGACACTATTCCTCCCAATGACTCCTATGATGGGGCACTATTCCTCCCACTGACACCAATGATGGGGCACGATTACTCCCACTGACACCAATGATGGGACACTATTCCTCCCACTGACCCCAATGATGGGACACTATTCCTCCCACTGACACCAATGCTGGGGCACTATTCCTCCCACTGATACCAAGGATGGGGCACTATTCACCCCACTGACACCAACAATGAGGGACTATTCCTCCCACTGACACCAATGCTGGGGCACTATTCCTCCCACTGACACAAATGATGGGGCACTATTCCTCCCACTGACACCAATGATGGAGCACTATTCATCCCACTGACACCAGCAATGTGGGACAATTTCTTCCTCTGACACCAATAATGGGGCACTATTCCTCCCACTGAAACCAATGAGGCAGACTATTATTCTTACTGATACAAACAATCAGGCAGTATTCCCACTGACACCAAAGCCGGGGCACTATTCCTTCCACACAGAACATTTCCTGAGCTTACTATACCCAGCCTGTCCTAGAATATTGTACATAAGCTTATAGAAGATGACTGTATTTTTAATGCTGGGAGATGGGAAAAATGTACATAGAGCTAAGAATGTAATAGGCTCCTCTTGTAACCTATAGGCACAGGCCTATTGGCCCTAAAGGTAAATCCATCCTTGCTCCCCTTGCAATTACACACAATTTCCTTATGTGGCACCTTCCTAGTATAGAATGCTAGGAGAATTTAGGTTTTGGCTCCTTCATTGGAGCAACTATTGATTTTTCTTGATGTTTCCTCTACATGCTGGAGGCTTCCAGAACATAGAATGTTGGGAAAGTCAAATGAGAGGTCTGAATATTTATGGTGCCTCAGCAGATTCTTGGGGAGATGTGCCCAGTATGTGGCTGAAGAGGGACATAAATAGTCTGAGGCCTTGAGCAGCCCTGGTCTGGACCTGTTGTAGGAGTCGCCAGCCCCTGCTGCCCCTTTGAGACAGTCCCGCTAGATTTGGCTGATGGTCATTGAGGTCCCAGCTATAGCAGAGCTGAGGACCTATTCCTAATTTCATCTGGAGCTGAGGATTCCATCTGTATAACTCACCGAGGAATGCCTGATGGAAGCTGGGAGATGTGCAGCTGTCCTAGTATATTGTGGGTATTGATCCAAGCTCAAGAGTTAGTGGTTGTGTGCATCTGGGGTGCCAGCTGTAGCTACTCCTGGGATTGTTTCTACTGGGCCTCTGTTCTGGTCTTCCCTTTGTTTCTGGCTTAAAGACTGGTCAAAGAAGCTTCATCGAGCTGAGTGTATCCTCTTGTTACAAGTCTGTAGCTCTGGAGTATCCCATACCCTCCCAACCCCTCTCCTGTTCTGAGTTCTGCAAGCAAATACAATTTAAAACAACATCCCCTAGACTGTTTAATGGAGCTAGAGCAGGGGTGGACTGACCATTTGGAAACTCGGGCACTGCCCGAGGGCCCGGGGTCAGTAGGGGGCCCCATTAGATGTCCCTGGTACCTTTTTCAGAGGCTTTTTTGAGTTTGGGCAAGGACACAGGGGCCCCATGATCCCCTATTACCCGGGGGCCCCATGTGTTGTCAGTCCGCCCCTGAGCTAGAGTGAATGGACAGTTGCCTGTGTGACTGGTAGCCTCTGCACCTCTGTAGCCTCTGTTTGGGGAAGAACCGGTTAAAACTCAGTAAGCACTGTGCTTACATAAACAGCGACATGCCAAGCTGATGGCTCCAGTATGGAAAGACACTCAACTCAGCCGGCAACATGTGGACTGACCGGGAGTCATTCTTTACGACACAGAGCTCTGAAGAAACGGCATGGGCCCGCCATGCCTTCAGAACGCATGAGCCTGTGACGTCACTGGCTGCTGCCAGAGTAAATATCTCCTAAACAGTTCACCTTTAGGAGATATTTACTGTACCTATAGGTAAGCCTTATTATAGACTCACCTATAGGTAAAATCCAACCAAGGGAGTTTACTCCGACTTTACGTTTTGAGTGCTCTTTCTCAGCAGACCCAGATGTCTCAGGAAGTAAAAGCGCCAACAAAAGATGTCTTCCCCCTGCTACGTAAACAGCTTGCAGTTATTCCGACTAGTTTGATTGTGTTTATTTTAGGCTGGAGTTTTATTCCAGCCTAGTAGTCATACAAAGGGTTATTCAGCGTGGGATATATTTGTCTCAGGACCGCATTCTTTGATTCACCAGATTAATATATGGTTTAATTCCAGCTGTCACAGGGGATTTAAGTGTGTGTTGCAGAACAGGGGCTGCAGATGTTCCCATCCACTTGACATGTTCTGGTTTTAATTGCTGGAAAGAGAGAGAGAGAAAGAGAAAGAGAATGAGAGAGAGAAAGAGAACGAGAGAGAGAGAGAGAGAGAAAGAAAGAGAGAGAAAGAGAAA